TTTTGTTTCAGATTCATGGACAAAATGTTCCCTTTCTCTTCACATTTAATATTACTCTCACAACTAGTGGTAAATGTTTTTGGACCCTGCAGCTAGCAACAAATGCCTGTAATGGCTCAAACAGTTCATAATGTTGAACAAGTTCTGCCAAACCTACGGACACATATCATGTATACTTCTGTCTGTATAGAGCCTTGAGTTGGCTTCAGGGATGTTGGAAAAGACACCAATTGACCTCAACAACAGAAATTGCAGTCAGGTGGAATCTCATGTGATGACACTACCCAATGTGGCCGTGCTTAAGTGGAAGTCTATCCTGGAAATTTCTCACTGACATTAATTATGAATACACTTGGTTGTTTCACAAATGGTAACCCTTAGTAAGATTGTTAGATAGGGAGAGGGAGCATGGAGGCTGATAAATCAGATTAGAAGGGGGGGGGAGAGAAGGATTTAAAGGTCCTTATCTCCCATCCAGCAATGTGCAGCCATTTCCTCTTTATGCAGCACATGGGAAGTGATCAGAGTAACCAGAAGAAAAAGGGGACACATTTCCTGTACCTTGTCTTAAAAGCTGCAATTTTAATTTCTTCATCTACAGTGCTATTAAGCACCATAGATGAAGAAATTAAAATTGCAGTTTTTAAGACAAGGTACACCCAATAAAATTTCGTGGCATCATAGAACAATGTTGGAAGGGGCTTATAAGGCCATCGGGTGCAACCCCCTGCTCAATGCAGAAATACAAATCAAAGAATAACTGTCAGGGGTTATCTAAATGTCACTTGAATGCATCCTGTGTTGGAGCACTCACCACATCTCGAGGTAACTGATTCCACTGTCATACTACTCTAACAGTTAGGAAGTTTTTCCTGATATTCAACCAAAATCTGTCTTCTTGTAACTTGACCCATTTGTTGTGTGTCCTTCACTCAGGGACGCTCGAGAACAGATACTCTGCATGACAGCCTTTCAAGTATTTGAAAAGTGCTACTGTACAAGTACCTCCCCTCAATCTTCTTTTCTCAAGGCTAAACATGGCGAGTTCTTTCAGTCTTTCCTCATAGGGCATGGCTTCCAGCCCCCTGATCATCCTGGTTGCCCTCCTCTGAACTTATTCCTCTTCCAAACAACTAACTTTTAAAGGTACAGGTATCTTTCCTGTTTTCCTCTCTCGTCACTCTTATAGTGATGAAAACAAGAAAAGAACAGATAATCATTCTCCTCTCTCTCTAGATATAATGCGCTAAATTATGGCTTTGGTTAAAAAAAACAGAGGGTTTTTAAATCTATATCTCACATACAATTTAAGACAAGCTAAGATGAAAACTTCTTTAATTTTTTGCATCAAAATTTGCTGGATATCCATATTCTAAAGATAAAATGAAATAATCTAGGATTTTCTTTTAAAAACAGACCTCACTCTGGGCATTACATTTTAGATGAAAGATGGAAAATAACTACAGAATCAAGCCATTTCCATATAAAATGAAGAGGTATGCCTCATTCTCCATCCAAAATGTTACACGCTTGTTCACAAATACAAAAATATAATTTTCTGGATGTGAAAGTGTGTGTTTCTTTTTAAGTGAGTAGAACTCCAGTTAGAAGTAACAGAAATTTGCCTTGTACTGACTTTGACCTGCTCAGTGTAGCTCTTTATTATCAGCTGCACAACACAGTACCAGTTTTTAGGGCATCAAACAAAGGTCTTTTCCCAGCAATCCCTGGAGGTGCTGGTAATTTAAACTGGAACTTTGTGCATGCAAACGTATGTATGCTATCACTGAGATACAATTTGCATAGGCTAGGCCTCCATTCCTGCATTAATACAGCCAATAGCATTCCTATGCTGGTCTGGCATTCAATATAAGCTTTTGTACAATGTTGATGGTTGATGGTTTCTTGCACAACAACCTGAAAAATACCCACATGGCCCACTTTGTCTACTATACCTCCTCCATACAAGCATCTCAAAAGGATTTAAAAATCAACAGCTGCACCATTGTGCTTCTCTTGCTCAGTCTGCAGGACTAAAACTAAAGCTACCACACATGTAGTATATAAAGTATATAGACATGGATACACAGAGATAAAAAGGAAAACCCTGCAGACAACTGTGAGAAATGCCAAGTTCATCTGATATCGGACACTGGAAGGCTACATTTATGGAAGAAACATATGCTGAAGAGGAATAGACAATTCATCTTCATTAGTCTTCTGTACATTCCACAATCATTCCTAAAGACAGTTGTGGAAACGTCATATACTAATGAATTATTAGGAGGCTTCCTCCAACCACAGGGCAAAAAAGCTACACAGAAGGCACTGCAAACTGTGATCTGTGATCTTATTCAAGGACTAACATCTGAGTGAAATTATACTCACCTAGAATCCTACCAAGGGAAACATAAATGTACAATAGGCTTGATATATGAACACTGAGTATATATCAAGCATCCAACAGAAGAGCAGATACAAAATACAAATCCCGAAAACACAATATAAACAGTTATACAGGCAAAAAGAGCACAGCACGCAATAGTTCAATAAAGTAACACAGAAAAAGTGCCGTTCAGAACTATCTACTGTTGTTTAAAGATCCCAGCATGTTCAAAGGGTTTTCGACATTCCTCATACAGCGGAAGCCAGTGCAACACCATGTCCTTTCCTCCGTAATTAATTGGATATACAGTATTTGTACTTTCTACATCTACGGGAACATACAGAACATCAGGCAGAAGGATACAAAAAGAATCCAACTGCCTATGTGGAGTACATTTATCCACAACAATCACTGTCATGCAGTTATGGAATCTAACCATTTAATTAAAAAAACTGTCTTGTCAGGGCAAAAAAGCATTAAAAACAGAAAGAAAAGCTTATGCTGAAAAATAAATCTTACATTCAGCTCAAATTAGTTCTAAAAGGCTGATAAAAATTGATCTTAAACAGATTTAAGGAAACACTAAGCTCAGTTCTACAGAGTTTGCACTGATGAATTTGTATTATACCCTATTCCCCCCAAAATAAGACAGGGTCTAATATTAATTTTTGCTCCAAAAAAACGCCTTAGGGCTTATTTTCAGGGAATGTTTTCTTTTTTCATGTACAACAATCTACATTTATTCAAATGCCGTCATGTCATCTTCTTCTGGTTGCTGCACAATGGTGGAAGGCGGGGTTTCACTTAACTGGGGCTTATTTTGGAGGGTAGGGCTTATATTTCGAGCATCCTGAAAAATCATACTAGGGCTTATTTTCAGGTTAGGTCTTATTTTAGGGGAAACAGGGTATTACTTATTTGGAAAGGCTCCAAGAAACCATTTCCTCTGTAGACCATTTATCCTGGCACTCTGGTGTTTCAGGCCTTTTTTTCATGCACAGTCTAGCCAAAGAAGCTCCTGTCTTTACCACAAAATTGAGTGGTGAGTGCAAACATGTGAATTGTAGAGTGTCTGGCATATTAGACACTATATCACCAATTTACAACAGACATTTGATATTCTAAATGTGCAATGAATCCTTGAGTCAAATTTAACTTCAGCCTGCAAGAGCCTAGTGAGAGACTTAAAATATATGGTGACAGTAAATATTTCTGATATTGAAGAAATGAAATTTAAGTTTAGAAGCACAAACTCTGTATCCAATCCCATTCTGCAAGAACCACAGGATTTGCTCGGAATAATATTAGAAGGAGAAGCTCCTGAAAGCAAAATTACTGGAAGAATGATAAGGTTGCAATCTCACTCCTACTGACCTGAGAATAAGTCCACTGAACTCAACACAGCTGCAAGGGTCTCATGATACTCAACATATATGGTATTAATAAATATTTCTAATCCACAATAACTGCCACTTACGTTTGGAAGCACCAACAGTGTATGCAATCCCATTCTGCACAGGAAAAACTGCAGGTTTTGCTCAAAATAATAATATAATGAGATGTTTGTGAAATCCAAACAGTGACTGAATAGACATGCATAACACTGCATTGCACTGCAAATATTATGCAACACAAAACTCTTAATTTATTGGGAAGGAAACATCTGTCCCATTGGGAGGAAGGAAGGGAAGGAGAAAAGGAGGGAGGAAAGGAAAGGAAATTTTCTTTTGTGTCAAGGCAAGGTAACCTGCAAAGACCACATCAACAACCAGGCAATGCAATGGAAATTCTGGAGGCAGAGAATCAGATTGCCACCCACAAATGTAATCAGATTCCCACTTCTGTTGCTGCCCAAGAACTGAATGCACAAAGTAAATGAATCTAGAACACCAGAGTAAGTACTTTTCAAGATTAGTATTACTGTATGGTCCATTTGCATTCCACAAAATCTCTGACAATAGCTCCTTATGCTGACCAAAGGAAAGATTACTATTCCCCACAAATACCAATGACACAGGGCTTATTCATATCCATACATCACTGGATATCTTAGCACCTGATGAGTCACAGATGAATGTATGAAGAGCTTACACAGAAAATCATTATACTTGAGATAATGTCAGCTGGCATGACTGCTCTTTCTGCGATGCTGGTCTGCACTGGCTGTTTCACACAAGTAAGTGATCACTTGACCCTGCAGTCATCAAGTAGTGAGCAACCATATGCAATCTCAACTCAGTCTGTGGATTAAAGAGTCAAGCATTTATACTGAACAAAGTTGAATCCACGCCAATACATTTACAGTGCAAGCATACACACTAACATTGACGCTTAAGACTCATTATGTTCAGTGGGGCTTATTCTGGGTTGCAAAACTGAATTAAAATGTACATGGCACATGGTTCTGATCAGAACTGCACATGGTTTCACTGCATGTAGCAGCCAAATTCATAGTCAGTAGGCCAATAAACAATTTCCCTCAGCACCATGATTTCCACTTCCTCTAGAGCCCATTAAAACAGAATAAATAATGGTATTCCACATCCTTGTAAGACATTCTGAAAGAGTGCACAAACAATCTATAGTTCAGAAAAAGAATCATAATTTCATTTACCTGAAACAATTGGTGCTAGCCTGAAAATGTCTGATAACCTGCTGTTAACTGGTTCATAAGGTGAGTCTTCAAGCAAGTCATTTCCTAAAGAAAATAGAAAGTGTGGTTTTTCTTTTATGCTTCATTAGCCTCCAGTCTTAATACAGTAACAACAGCAGTTCATTACTCTCAGGAAACATGCCTATTGAACCAACTACTTCTTCTTCACCTAGGGTGGCCACAGCTTCCACTCTCAACCCTCTCTTCAAAAAACTTCAGTGTGCCCCCATCTTCTGCAACCTTTGGCTTCGGGCTGCTTCTAACTCCTATTCTCTTAGCATTGGTACTGTGGTGATAGGCAAGCAATCTTCAAGTTCTCAGCACCATTAGGTCTGGTCAACCGAGCAATACTGCTGCAGAATATTGAGGGAAGAGTATTAAAGCAGATGATGTTGAAATCAGCATTCTTTTACGGTATCCTACCATAAAAGCTTTGGGGGAGAAATATCTTGTCAATAATGCATCCTTCTCCTCAATGAAATTGAAAACATGTAGAACAACTGACTCTGGTAATCCTGACTTTAACAGCTATTGGGATGGCAAGAAAAATAGCAAAGAAGGTAGAAATTATATACCTATATAGGACCTTTTTTATTTACAATTTATTTTATTGCATTTATCTGTAATTATTTCATACTTGGACATAGGGTAAGTAATGAAACCTGAGCCTAAGACTGCAATCCTTCAAACATTTTCCAGGAATTCCCACTGTATTTTATGACACTTACTTCTAAGTAAATATGTACAGAATTGTGCTCTACAAGTAAACTCTCAGGCCTAAATCCAATGGCTAGTGCCAACTAGATTAGACCCACTGAATGAGTTGAAACTAGGTAAGTCAACAACTACGTAAATTCCACTGATTTAGTGAATTTACATTACTTGAGACTAACCATTAGATTTAGGCCTCACTTTTTTTAGAACTGTTAAGGACTATCCAGTAATAATTTAGTGTGAGAGCTATAGCCAATAAATCCAAAGTCATTTAAAGTATTCAGTGTTGCCATTGACTATAATATTGAATTCAATTAACCACCACAGGTATGGGAGGCTTGGAATAGATATTATTGTAAAACATATCAAGATCACAGGGCCTTAAATTCCTAACCAACCATGAGTCAAATTCCAATACTGTATTAAATTGCCTTGTTGGCTCAGAAATCAATGAATGTTTTCGTCAGAGTCATTGCTCTGATGCTGAATGTTCAAATGCCTTTCTCATGTAGTCCATTAATGTTCAACAAAATACAAAGATGTTTCTGAAAGTATCTTCATTCCAGCTAGGAGATGGTTATACACACACTCAAACACATACACACAAGCAGAGGACACTGCTTACAAACAGAGATGCCTGGCAATTTTTCAAGGAAAGGATAAATTCTCATTTGACTCAGTGGGTAAGGAGTGACCCCTTGTGATCTTGCAAAGCTAGATCTCATTAACAAGTATCTACCATCCTCCTTCTCTTCTCAGGAGGTGGTGATCGGGAAAGGAAGTGCTTAACTGACTGTCTTTTAAGACTCCACAAATTGCTAACACCCTAATCTTCTGGCTTCGGTTTAGAAAGGTCAGCTGAGTCCCCCTGGAGGCAATCTTTTATTCTGCATTTCCCAAACAACAGGCAACTGCAGCAAGGAACAGCTGCTTTAGCTGGGTGGCAGGAAAGGTCCTTGGTCTGCAACTGAAGAACACAATGAGAACTACGAGGTCAGGTCATGGTGGATCTAAAAGGCAGAGGAAATCCCATTCTGCAGGGAGGAAGTGCTGAGCGAAAGTGTTCTTGCCCGCTCCACCCCCCACCCACCCCCCTACAACATACCCTGTAAGCTTTGGTACATGCTCCAGTAGATACGGAGGCAGTTTTTCTCCTTCTTCATGCCTCTCTTGCAGCGACAATTGTAAAGAGACTTCTGCTTCAGAGCCTCCATGGCGCTTTTGCACTCGTCCTTGGCCTCCAGGCCTGTCGCCCGACTGAAGTTGCTCTCTTTGCCGGCAACGCACTGCCTCAGCGTCCTGTATTTCGTGCTGCAGCTCTGCTCCCTGAGACACTGGTCGTTGGCTTTCACACAATCTAGACGGTCCCCTCCTCCTCCTCCGAGCAGTCCGCTCACTTCTGAGGACAAAAGAACTTCTACATTCAGGGGAGGAAAATAGAAAGCAGAGCAAAGGAAACTCCTATGAGCTCTCCTGATGCCACATAAATGACACTAACTTAGGAGGACTTATAAAGAGCAACATGCACAGGGCCAAGAAAAAGAGCAAATCTTTACTCTTACTAAATTCCCCCTTTGCTAGGGATGACAAAGAAGCCCTTGAAAACTTGCATTTCCTAAAGAGAAGGTCAGCTCCTTTAAAATTCAAAGGCTGCATTCCTATCAAACACATGCCCCAATCGTGAACAATAACACAAGAGTCCCCTCTCCGCCACCAAATACACCTTCCATTGCACAGGGATCAGGTCCCACCAGAGAGTTTCAGAAAGTAATTGAGCTTTCATTTCCCAAAGCCTTTTCTTTATGATTTCCCAGAAAACTGCCTTCTTTTTAACTAAAACAAAGACTGTACTCCCAGATGACCCAATCTTCCAAAACAGCAAAGCAGTTAACATATAGAGTAAAACAAATTAATCATTTCCTCTTGCCAGGACTATATAGGCTTCTCCTTCAAACTCTGAGGAGAGCATCAATGGGTTAAATTCTCCTTTCCACAAAGGCTTTGCTGTGATTTTAACCAGCTGAGATGAGAGAGAAAGAAGAGATTTTCCTAGCAATTGCCGAGAACCTTCAGGTCTTTAGAAAGGCAGTGGTGCTGGCGATAGTTTTCTTTTTAACTATAAAAACTGACAGGCTTTTGTTTCCATATTTCTGCCTCCATGCAGAACGATTCCACTGCAACAGCCAGAGGAGATTACAGTCATCCTTTATTTCCTACTCAGAGACACAGGCGTATATGTGCATACACGCACACAAATGCACACACACCTGGTCTGCTGTCAAAACAATCCAGATTTGAGATGCAAATAATATGTGGAGGCATGGTTTAGAAATATTCTTTTTAACAAACTCCTCACGTAATCCTCTTTCTACATGAATATTCCAGCTTGCCGTCTCATCAAGTTACCAAAGAGATTAGTGGAAAGTTTCCCCTCTAACTTGCTCAAGCCCCGTTTAACTCAAAAAGAGAGCATCTTCTGCAGTTCAAAATTCAATCCGACTCGTACCTACTCGGAGGTAAGCAACCTTCCCCAGACAGATTTGTACAGGAGGGTAGCCTACATCTCCTTAAAGAGCTTTAGCTAAGCACAGTGTCCATACTAGAAGGCGGAGAGGAGAACGGGGGATCTGAAAACTACTGAAAAACTTCACCATTCTCTCAATAAAGACTGAACGACAACCTGTCAGGTCCTCCAAGCCCAAGCGTGGGCTTCAAGGAGAGCGCGAAAGAACACACCCCAAACACTTACCCATTAAGGGCAGAAGGAAGTATAAGGTGGCCAGAGACATCTTGATCTGTCTTTTGCAGGTCCTTCCTCAGAACGAGCTTGCTTCTGCCACTCCAGAAGGCGATCAACAGCGCGCAGATATTCCAAGCCAGCCAGATTCCGAAGCCCCCAAGTTCATATCCATTGAATTTGCCAAGACCCTAGATCCCTCTCTCTTTCACCCCTTCTCTCTCTCTCTCTCTCTCCTCCGTTCCCCAGGAGTAACAACAGCAAGAGCAGCTGCTCTGAAAAAAAGAAAAAGGAAGAGAAGAAACAAGAGCAAGCGGAGAATTTCTCACTTCGATCTTCCCAGCATCCTGGAAAACAGTCGCGCCGATTTCACTCAATAAGGAAGAAAGCAAGACGAGGAAAAGAGCCTCACGCGGGGAGCGCGCGAGGGTAAAACACACACAGGATGGCTTCGCCTGCCTCTTGGGTGTGTGTGGGTGTGTGTGGGGGGGGAGGAAGAAGCACCTTCTGTGTCCCCCCCTCCGGGAGGGATTCCAAGAAAGAAGCAAGAGAAGGGAGGTGGGGGGAGGCAAATGAACGGCTATCCCTCCAGACGCTTCTCGCCCCCCAGTCCCGAGGCCACACGCACACGATCGCTGGTGAAACCCCGCGTCGGTTCTCCTTCACCGCCGCCTCCAACCACAAGTCATCATCATCATGGTGCCTGCGCGTGGCTGCGGGCTAAGCCCGATCGCCTCCCCGTCCCCCTCCCTTTTCCAGAGGGAGTCGACACCTCCCCAAGTGTCCGCAGGCTTTCTTGCGCTTCGGTGCTAGTTAGCGTCGTCCGTCCCCATTCATTGGAGGGGGGGAGTGCCTGGAGGAGGAGAAGTGAGGAGAGGGACCAGACCCGGCGATCACCCTCCGTTACGCCTTTGGTAACCGCTGCCGGGCCTTTCTCGTTAAGTTCCCGCTGCCCCCTCTATTGGAGACCGAGGCGCACGCAGGGAGCGGAGCGACGGAGCCCAAAAAAACCTCTCCGGCAGGTGCCGCCAGCTGCCCGGGCGCCCGTCTTCTCCCCGTGAGAACCTGAGCCGACCGGCCTGCGTCCCCCCCCCCGCAACCTGGGAGTAAGCCCCGTGGCGCCCGATGGGGCACGCCCGAGAGAGAGAGAGAGATATCGCCCTATTAGGAAAGCGACCGCCGTTTACAGAACTTCTCCCCTTGCCTGCCACTAACCCCCCCCAAAAAAAGTTTTCCTCCCCCTCTACGTGATTTCAAAACGTCTGAACGGCAAAGGGGGCTTTCATGGTCCAGAGGGAGGTGCCAAATAAAAGGGACGGCGCGACGGACCCAACAAGAACGGCTCGGCAAGAATTCTCGCTGGGGGGAATAAATCAAGACGGGACCCGAAGTGCATCAAAACGTGGCGAGATCGCGCTCGTTTTACTGAGGAGTCAAAAT